AGTAGGCAATACGGGGGAGCCCCATACTCCGCCCAGGCACCCCATACCAGTCCAATACTGGCTCAAGACCTTTTCAGTTTTAGGCCCAGTTATTATTATTTAAATAAAGACTCATGGCCTTACATTAGCAAATTAATGGAATAAGTGGGTCTTATCTTTGCCATCACATGAGAGAGTCACGCATGGAAGAAAATTTGGAGGGCATCAGGGGCCCACCCTTTTATTTATTTATTTGCAAGAGACTTGGAAAAGGGAAAATATTCACGCACAGAAAAAGGGGAGAACCACGAAGTGCCAGAGGCAACAGAGAAGATTCACGCAGACCTGAGGACAGAAACGGAGCCACGCGCAGACAGAAGAAAGACGGGAACTCGATCAATTGCGGAGGGAGACCGCATCCGCACACGAAAGAGGATAATCCTATTCTCTTTCTTTTGTTTTTATTTATTATGTTAGCTTAAATTTTATTCTAGTTCCGGGGATGTCGAACCCTACGTACTTGATGATGTTTGATTAATTATGGTTGATTATTGAGTTATCTTTTTGGAATTGTTTGTGTTATTTTGAATAATTAACCATGATGTGTTGAGTCTTATTTAGATTGATCACCTAGATTAGGTTTTACATATCTACACCTGAATTAGGTCTTCAATCCGTAATTGTTGATGTGTTTAATTCACAAGTGGTATCCGGAAGATGGTAACTACCGGGGATAACACGGCCTATTTAAGAGCGAATGCGTCACTACTTAGTCTAGCCTATCTTTCTAATTCGTAAAGCGGCTAATTGAATAAAAGTGTAGAAATCTCTATTTTGAATAATGTAATTGTCAAGTTATAAAATGCAAATGTAAATAAATGCACCTACTTATTAACGTTCCTATTATTAAATAAAGAAATCAACTGTAACTTTAATAAGTGATTGCATGTAAATAGTAAATACATTTACTGAAATACCAAAATCTCATCATCCTCAATTTAAAAACCAAGCTCCTCAAGTCCTCATCTTTAGTTACCTTTGGGCCTGAATCTTAATTTCTTAGCATGTAATCTTCATATTTCAGTTGGCCTTCCAGTTACTTTCATTTGGCCCAATATCTCCTCACCCTCACCTTATGTCTTTTCCTTCTTTCTTAGTCACTCAATTATTCAAAATAGAGATTTCTACACTTTTATTCATTTTAATCACATGATATAATAGTTATTAATATTTATGTCACAAGGCTTTCGGACGAATAATTAGGCCGTCGAGCCAATCTACTAAGTACACTAAAGTCGCTTGATGACATGATACTGACCTTCGGATCCAGATTGATATTATTTTTCGAGTCTTTTAGGCAATATCCTTGTATGAGTCAACGTACGAGTCAATCTACTTCCGCACTTACAATTGTGTGATTGCATTTTATCGATACGTGGATTCATATTAGAATATGACTACAACATTTTCATTCATATATATATATATATATATATATACTAGATGGGTTTACGCCGTGCACGCACGACGGTCTAACACCCGGTGTAAAACTACTGTGAAAATTTGTCATAATCTGTTGCAGCTTTTATTCTAGCGTATATTACATTTGTTCACATATATTTTTTTTCTATCGAAATGTTTTAAGATTTTGCTCTGTTGAATTTCGCCAGTGGTTTATCAGTTGTGAGGTTGTTTAAATCCGTGTATATGCTTCGATTCTCTCTCTCTCTCTCTCTCTCTCTCTCTCTCTCTCTGTATTTGTCATTTTCTTCAATTCCAGATGAATGTGAACACATAGATAAATCAGTTTTCGTACTCATCCACTTACACAAAGTTTAGTTACTTTTCTTGTTGCATTTGTTGTGTGCGTTGCTGTGTGCGTGCTTGTTGGATATTTTATCAATGATTTTGTCATTAATTAATATCAAGTAATTTCAATTTACTTTCACGATGAGATCAAAAGCAGGAAGATGAGAGTGTACCTAACACGACCATAAGAGAGATCTTTTTCGAAGAGATGAATCATGGGAATATTGTGAGGTACTTTTGTTTATCGTCGTAATACATTATGGATAGTTACAAATCTTAATTGAGTAAGAAGTCTGATTGCAAAAAAGTGATTTTTTCGTCCTAATACTTTTCATATCTGTACATGCACTTTTTTTTTCCTCTATCATTTTTGTTCTTTAGGACATTTGGCTCCATTTAATTTAGTATAAAAATGTAGTGACAATCTTTCAGTTGTTGCTTCTCTTTCTTTGGTCAATTGCTGCAGCTCTTTACATATATTATGTCTGACATTGTCTCAAGATCCTTTCTCATATTATTGTTGTTATTCCCTACTCATTTTCAAACAAATCTTAAGTGCCACAGATTAAATATGCATCCTAATCATCTCTTCATATACCAAAAAAAAGTTTGGAATCCATTGCTTCAAGATTTGTGTGTCACAAATTTAGAGAAGCAACTGTCCATGGTTCTTAGTTTTCATTGGTTCAGTGTGTGACTTTGCATTCCTTTTCTTTTTTTTTTTCTTTTTGCATGGTCTCATAAACAAATGCAACACAACAAAATAAAATTGAGGTAGAAAATGATTTTTCCATCTTATTAGTATCACCTTTTCAGTAACAACAACGATGAAACAGAAGTGGTGGAGAGTAATAGCACAAAAGATACCTACAGTCGAAAAGAAACAAAGTTATCACCCGAAAATTGTAACGCCAAAATACTGGCACTTTTCATCCATACAACATAGCTGAACCTTCGCAAATATGAAGTATCTAAACTGATAAGACTAAGAGCTAGCGGCCATTTGGCGGTACACGTACAACCGGACCTAATTTGATTTATAAAATTAAAATATTTAGTAACCAAGATATTATTTGCTATTAAAGTGTCGTTAAATCACAACTAAAGCTGCAGACCCTGAAACTTCAAACCACAGCTTCCTTACCAACAATACTTTGAATAACTATTATGGTCTAATAACAAATCATTAGAACCATACCCCATATCAACAATATACTTCCTTGAATCCGCAAACTCCATGTGCATGAGCTTCTTCTTTAATTAAGCCAATTATGGTCTCCATAGTCACCTATGACAATTGCAAACAGTGAAGGGAGAAATAGATTCAAATAAGATTTAAGGTTTTCTGCATCTAACTGAAAAGTACTTGTCAGTGCATCTTTAGGGAATGCGTACCAATCGAAATAGTTGTGAATATAACTTTTGAGTAATAATACCAATTAGATCAATAATAGATGTCATAACTTACAGCTACACATTGAGCAAAAGTATAGTGAAACCCACTTGCCCTAACTTCGAGAGTTGTGGCAGCTCTAATCCTTCGAACATATCCATCGAAAGTTTCAGTTTGCTTTTGGGAAACTTTTTAAACATCCATTTCAAATCACTACAAATCAAAAGTACTTCACAATATTCACATGTTTAACATTTTTCAAAAGAGACTTGTTTAGATAAAGCTGCCACTTTTGATTTCTAACTCTCTATACAAATTGTCAATTTTTTTAATATATTTTTCAATAAACAGCACATAAACTATTTTTTTGGGGAAAAAAATATAATCAGAAACACTTTTTAAGAATTTGTAAGACCATAAAACCACTCTGAAGTCTGAAACAACTCATAAGCTGTTATTTCAAGGTGAAAAACTGATTGTTGCTCACCATGTAAGTTCACCTCTGACACCTCGTATCCCGACAGCCACCTCAGCAGATTTGCTCCCTCTCTCTCACATCTCCAGCAAAACAGAAATAAATATCGTCCGCGCCTAGAAAACAGGAAAGCACAAACAAACATCAACCATCAATAATCATTTTCAAAATTACAGATCATCTAATTTATCCTTTTCAGAGATTAATGAAAATGGAATTTGAAATAAAAAACAAGAAGATGGTGAACATATTTATAAACAAATAGAAGGTTCTCATTGAATTTGCTTCAAAGTTCGTAATCACAACAAACCTAGCACAATGAACAATATTGTGGAGGACAAATCAGAATAAAGACACCTGATTTAAGACAACCCATAACTATGGAACAAGGAACATTAAGTACCCCTTGTGACCCTGAAACCCTTTTTGATTCATTTTTTCAGGCTATGGATTTCCTCGTTATTTGTTTTTTTTTCTTTTTTTTGGGTACAAGGACATAGACCGAAGCCTGATGATTAAGCTATAACTTGACGGGAATAAGAGACCCCGATAAGATCGTGCTCGAGCCAGGCTCCCATGCCAGGGGGAGGGGAAGCCAAGAACTGAAAACTGATCGGAGAGTTGGTCGTTAATCTGCCTAAATGGTCTGCTGCAAAATTCGAAAATTGACAACTACAAATTAAAGATGCATGTGATGTAATATTAATGACCCGGAATTAAGGTATCATTACTAATGTCCTATGTTGTAGATGGAAATCCATGCTTCCGAAGCTGCCCAAAAATAAAAAATAAATAAATAAATAAAATTTGTATAGAAAATTAGAGAAGACCGAATAGGTTTAGAAAATACTGATCGGCTTTAGAAAGTCTCCACTGGTAACCCCCATTAACAGCCCACAAGAAGTGGTCGTGCAGCTTCAGTTTGTTGGCAAAGTTCACCTCCTGGCTTGGAATACTAACTGGGATCAGGCAGTTATTTGATACAAAGGAAAAAAGACCTCAAACCTGAAACTTGATCATCTTTTTCTTTAATTTTCTCAACTATAACATCAACCAGGGCAATCATCCTTTGATAGGAAAGCTTCCAGCAACTTTTCGTCTTCCTCATCTACGTTATCCTATTTAATGAACAAAACGTCGGTTTATTTAAAACAGAGCTCAAAGTGAATATAGAAAGAAAGGAACTTTCACAACTTCAATAGAACTAAATTGTCAATCGCAATGTCCTAGACGAACTAACAAACAAGTACTTCAACTACCATTAATCTCTTTCACAGAACAAAATAATTCGCAAGCATATACTAAAGCCACTCTAATCCTTACTAATCAAAAATGAAAATTGCACCACATAACATATATATAAACCAAAGGGCAGAACACCCATAAGTAAAACAGACAATCAATAGAAAGCTCGATTTCATCACCAAATCAAAAACAAAAAAAAAAATAACCAACCAACATATTGCCTGCCATGAAAAGCATCATCAGAAAGATAATACCTTTAGTCTCCAATAAACAATAAAGATAAGAAAATGAGAGCAAACCTCAGATTTTCCATAGTCCAACCAAACATCAACATTAAAGAGAAGAAAT